GTTGTACTCAAGCCGATTTGAGTCTAGTATATCATAGTTCAGATTTAGTTTGGTATAATTATAAGTTTTTCATGTTTAGTTTGTGCTTGTGTCTAGGTTTTATATATGGCTCGAGCTTGATTTATTTAAAATTTTCACTGTTTGACTTGATTTGTTTTGACAATTGAACAAGTATTCAAATGAGTTAATAAACGAATATCTTGATTTTTTTTATAAAAAATTCAATAAATAATTTTCAAATCTATCAGACATATTAATTTATCGATTATAAATTCTATAAAAATAAAATGTAACTCATCAACCATAATCATATTTTGATTAAGGGAATCTCTCATGGTCGTCCGATAGAATGATCAAGAATACTTTCCTATTTGTTGGGAGGCGTTTTATATACTATATAAAGAGAGTCTTACTCCATTTATGAAGGGGGGCTAAGAACTATAATTGAAAGAGGATCAGGAGAAGACTGAATTGAAGTATAGTGTTCTAGATCAAAGATCAAGTGTACACTATGGAATAATGAAGAACCTTGTCGAACAGCGATCAATGTTGTGAAGTAATGAAACACTGCGTGTGGTGGCGACCAATATTGCAGAGTAGTGAAGCACTATGTAGAGTAGATAACAATGTCACAAGAGCAACGAAACATTCTAGGGAGCAACTCGTTGTCTGGAACACCGTGCAGTGACAAACTTCGAGGATGATGCATCAAAGTTTTGTCAACTGCAACCAATTATGAGTGTTATACAACATACATATATTGTAACTACGTGATCTTTTTTTCGCTTGTGGGACACGAGCTCGTACCTGTACTTATCTGCTTATCTGACTATAGTTGATTATTTCTAACTGGGCTACATCCCGTGTTTTTTTTTTCTTCTCTAGTCTTTCCATGCAAAACATTATGGTATCTCTACCTATCACTTCTTTTATCCGAGTGTGTGTTAAATTTTTGTTCAAAGTTGAGACGATAATTCATTACTCTACCGCTAATTCTCCAGCACACATTAATTTTATTTTTAAAACATCAATTCTTGAAGGAGGAAAATAAAGATTTCAAAGCGTCAAATGAAATTTAAAATCTCTTATGTCATTATTTACTTACTTTTAGCACTCTAGCATAGCACTCAAAACATTGTTATTTATAAATTTAGCATCTAGTATTTTATTCTTTTTAAATCTACTAAATTGATTCATTTATGTGTGACAAGTTCAAATAATTGAGAAATTGATAATAAAAAAAAGCGAGTTAAGATTTTATCATGAATTTTGATATTTGAGTGAGACTTTGAAAAATAGATAAACAAGGGTGCTAAGTTTATCAACAAAAATGATTCGAGTGCTACGCAAGTAATTGCCTCTTAAGCATAAAATCTTGAAGTCTCCAACGCATAAGAGCTATAAATGAACCAGTGCACTCGCTGAATAACTCAAACTCGACAATTAATACTCGATCATATTTATTTATATCAACAAATAAATAAGTTTGAACATTTTCTTATAACACAAAAATTAAATGATTATATTCCAAAAATTAAATGATTAAATTTGAATATAGTTAAACTCGTTTATTAATGTTTACTAACAAATTCATTGGTTATTCAACTATTAAATTATTAAATACTTTATACATATAATATTTAAATAAATTTATTTTAATTAAAACTTACTTATCATTTATTTAATAATAATTTATTATAATTTAATATTAATATACATAAATATGTATATTTAATATTTTATTTCAATAAACTAATTCATTAATATTAATTAATTTTTATTTATTATAAGAGTATTTACTTTTAGTTGATATATTATTTTACTATTTAATACAAAATACTAATTTAAAAGTTACTTAATTATTATTATTTTTTATTTATAAAATAATTTAGTAATAATTTGAAGTCTAATTTTTAATTTTATTCAAACCCCAAAATTATATTTTCGACCATACTCGGCAGGATAATATCCCTGGCAATTACCATCCTCTTTCCCCCTCCTCTCCGGTCCTCCACTTCACCGCACATCAAATTGAAAGGATTGCATGACCTACTGCTCAATCGCAACGAGGGCGTTGGTAGGGTTTCCGGCAGCCAACCAAGGTATCGCCGTCGATTTCTTTCTACCCTGTCTCCGTTATCCCCGCATTTTATAAGGTATCCATGCTTACGTCTCCATCGTTCAAGCATCGGGCTCCTGGAAGGAGTTGCAGCTTCTGAGTTGCAGAGACTCCATTTATTTTTTACGCCGAGTGAATTGTACTGTTTTAGCTGAATCTGACTTATCTCGCGCCATATCTTCCTCTAGACTTCACAAGCTCTACGAATAGCATCCACATTTTCTTCTTTTAATCCCTCTCTCGCTCGGTTTTGTTTGCCCCTCTTAAAAATCCGGGTTTGGCTTAGTTGTTTGGATGCCAGTAGGATTTAAGTGAGTTTGGATTTGTAAATATTAATGGAGAAGATTTGGAAAACTGTTTAGTTATCTAAATCATAAATCCGGGTAAGTATTATAAAATTGTTTGTGTGCGTTTTAGAATGCTTGGGGATTTAATTGACTTGGGGGATATTAAGCTTTTTTTGCTGGGATCTGGTCCTTGTACACCAACCGAGTGCTGTCCAAGGACAAATAGAGAAATTCGGATTGCTTTCCACAACATCCAAAAGGGAAAATGTTGTACTTGTATTATTGCTGTTATCCAGACATTTTTGTGATTAGGGAAATTCAAAGATTGAATCTTGTATACAGCATTCTGAGATTTTCATTGAAACGTATTGATGTGAACTGTGGAAAAAGAGTGAAAACAAGAGAAGAGAGAGCTTGTACACCATGAACCAATGCTTGAGATAACTTTGTTTGATCAAGCAATGACAAAGGAATCTTAAAAAAAAGTCTTAAAATCTTATGAATCCGTTTTAGTATCTCATGGTGGGCTTACACATTGATATTGAGAGGTTTGCTATGGATCAATTTGGTATTAGGGTATTTTCCTTGTTGAACGGCACACACCAATTTACAAAATAGGGATATAAAGAGAAGGCTGAGCCATTTCTCGTTTTGGAGATGATTCTAAAGTCAAGAAAGAGGCAAGAACAAGAATAAAAGAGAGAAAGCTAAACAATGCAAACAATGTTTCTACAATGAGTCTAGTCAATTAGTTTGTTAGACTAACAGAACAAATGGCCACCATGGTTCTTCCTGCTTCCATGCCAAATACAAATATAATTAGAGAAATGAAGAATATGATAGTACTAACACCCAGCAAGGATGTGATCATTCCAGATAGAAGACAAAGTCTTTATTCCTTCTTATGATGGGATACTTTACACTTAGATTTTTGATGCATGAATTGACTAGTTAGAGAATTCACTTATATGGGTCTAAAACAAATGACTTTACTTTCACATTATTGAATTTAAGCCACTATACATTAGTATTGCTGAATTGCCATTGGAAAATGAATGATCATAGCTTATAAGTTCAATTAGATCACTTATGATTATGATTTTGGGCATTAAATCGTGGAAATGTCAAGAGAATTATGTTTTTTGAGGTTGTAACGGTTCCATTTCTTGATAGAGATTGTCTAGTTGTGATTCTCATATGACACTATTAAGATCGAAGTGCTTCCTATTAGTAGTGCATATGCATGATTGATTCATCAATCAGATATCAAATGAAGGATATCATGGCCTAGTTTTGAATTTTGTAAATCTATTTGGATCAAATTTGTTCTTGAATTCAAATTTAGACTTGGATTGAATATTGTTGTAATTATCCTTCAAGTTTGATCTTTATTTTGTTTGTTATTTGTAAATAAGATTCCATCTTTTGTGGTGTTTATTTGGGATTTGATGTGAACTAAGCCTTTGTTATATATCTATAAATAGGAAGTATTTTTTTGCAATATAATCTCAATCTGGATCTCTCACAATTATTTGTCTCTCTCTCTCTCTCTCTCTCTCTCTCTCTCTCTCTCTCTCTCTCTCTCTCTCTCTCTCTCTCTCTCTCTCTCTCTCTCTCTCTCTCTCTCTCTCTCTCTCTCTCTCTCCCAGCATTCAGCAAATGTCATGTCATTTGTTGGTAATATTCCCCCTCCAGCATTTGCTCTTTCTTGTAGTCCAAGGGCGTTGATTACCTGCCTTTTTTTTTTCCTTCTAAAGACTCCAGCTAACCGCATTTTTTATTTATGTTGGGTGCTGCTGTCCCTCTCCACTGTTTCTACAACACACTAGTTGCTAACTTTCTTTTGTTGTTACCTTTCTAAAGTCAACTCTTCTGTTTTGTTGTTTTTTTGCTGACAGGTCCCTGTGCATTAACTGTGTTTTCTAGGGACAAAATTAGAGAATTTTGGATGCTTTTATATAGCATTCTAGGGGATATCAACGGAAGATGTTTGATTTGAAGAGCCAAAAAGTAGTTAAAATCAGAGAAGTGAAGTCTTTTATGGTACGGAACAACACTTGAGGTACCCTTACTTAAATTTCTAAAATCATTCCAAATATGTTCTTGCCCCTTTCATTATGGGCTCAGACACACAACTTGAGAGATTTGTTAGGTAATGTGGAAATCCGATCCATCGAAATTTGATTAACTTCATAATTACGAATCTCATCTATTTTCTCACATATCGCTCACTTACCACATCATACCTACTGCTCACCTATCTCCCAGCTACCGCTCTCATTGTTTCTATAAATAACTTTTTTTGGCCTAAAGGAGAAGCGAAGTCAAGCAAGGTCAAGCCAAGTTCTCTTGAGAGCTAAGAGGAAGAGAGGAAGAGGAAGAGAGAGAGAGAAAGAGAGAGAGAGGAAGAGAGATTTTCTTGTAAATGTCGAGTCGTTCGACGATGTAATTCCTCTAAAAAATAAAATCCTCTGCAGCTTCGTGGGTGTAGGCAAATATTCGGAACCACGTAAATCTGTGTGTCGCTCTGGTGTTTTTTCTGTGTGCAAATTTTCTCATTTCGTTTTTCGTTTTATTGCCATCCTTTTTCACAGCAACTGACATCCGAGATTGGGTTTGAATCTAAGGAAGAACGATGAGCGGACACGAAGTGATGACATTGGAGATTGAGAAGTTCAATGACACAAATTTTGCTTATTGGAGGATGCAGATAGTGTACGTACTATATGGGAAGAAACTCCATCATTCGTTACTACGAAAGCAACCAAAAAAGATGGACGAGATGGAATTGAATCTGTTGGATCGACAGGTTCTGGGGGTTATACGATTGACTCTGTCGAGATCAGTTGCCCACAATGTCATTAAGGAGAAGCTATTGCGGATCTCATGGCGGCTTAATCAGGTATGTATGAAAAGCCATCGGCGAATAACAAGGTGCATCTGATGAAAAAGTTATTCAACTTAAACATGGTGGAAGGTGTGTCTGTTGCTCAATACTTAAATGATTTCAACACTATCACACAAATCAGTTGTCGTATGTTGAAATTGATTTTGATGATGAGATACGTGCGCTAATATTGTTGACTTCATTACCAAATAGCTGAGAAGCCATGATGATGGGAGTTAGTAATTCTGCAGGTAAATCTAAGCTGAAATATGATAATATTCGTGATTTGATTTTGGCTGAAGAGATGCGCAGGAAGGATTTTGGCGAGACCTCGTGTTCAAGTTCGATGTTGAATGTTGATTTCAGAGGGAGATCACATGACAAAAACTCAAACAGAAGAAGATCAAAATCAAAGTTTGGTCAGCAGACAATCTGCTGGAATTGGAATTGTGGCAAGCACATAAAAAAGAACTGCAGAAATTCTAAGAAGAAAGAGAATGATGGTGCTAATGTTGTAACTGAAGAAATACATGGTGCAATATTTCTGACAGTTCACAGTTTTGTTGATGATTGGATACTGGATTCAGGGCTTCCTTTCATACATCTTTCTGTCAGGAATTAATATGAAATTATGTTGCAGGTAACTTTGAGAAGATATATCTGGCTGATGGAAAAACTCTGGACGTGGTGGGGATGGGGGACCTTGCGATTCGTTGATATTGCACTCTTTAACAATAGCAAATGGACTTCGCAAAAGGTCAGACATGTTCCTGAGTTGAAGAAAAATCTTATCTCTATTGGGCAGCTCAATGAGGGTGGTCATTCGGTAGTGTTCTCAGATAGCACCTGGAAGGTTACCAAAGGAGCATTAGTACTGACTCGGGGTAAGAAAACTAACACACTATATATAACTACATGTTTACTCAGACGTGTACACATGAGTCAGAGGTGCATTATGGGGAAGCAGAAGAAGGTCAATTTTTTGAAAAGTGGTAGAGTGTCAAAGACAGGAAAACCAGACCTTGTACAGAAAAATGGTGGAGAACCACAGAGCTATGAAGGAATCTTGCGAGATGAGAATTCAAGCAACTGGGAGCTGACCAAGAAGGAGGAGACGAATTCCCTGCCAGAGAATCAGACTTGGAGCTGATATAACTTCCACCAGGGAAGAAGCCATTGCACAACAAGTGTGTGTACCGAGTGAAGACTGTGTTTGATGACAGTAAAAGGTGCAAAGCTGGACTTGTTGAAAAAGACTTTCAGCAAGAGCATGATATTACTCATGCAGTGAGAGTTATAAGCAGATACATGAGTAACCCAGGAAATGGAGGTACAAGGCTACGTTGACGGTGATATGTCAACTGAGGGTGTTACTCATGAGAAGCTGAAGTTGTGCTCAACTTCAGCTGGTCTTCTGACATGAAAAAAGGAGCTTTGAGTTGCAGAGGTGAAGAATATCATGTTTGAGGAAAAGGTCGATACAGCTAGTAGATGATGCAGCTAGTAGGTGATGCATTCAATGTCTTAGTCCCCAAGTGGGAGAATTGTTGAGTAATGTGGAGACCCGGTCCACTTCCTATTACGGCAGATTCATAGAAATCATCTCACCTACCGCTCACCTACCTCCCACCTACCACTCACCTACCTACCGATCTCATGGTTTCTATAAATAGTCTTTTTTGACTTAAAGGAGAAGCAAAGTCAAACAAGGTCAAGTTAAGTCCTCTTGAGAGCTAAGAGAAAGAAAGGAAGAGAGAGAGAGGAAGGGAGAGAAGAAAATAGAGATTTTCTTGTAAACGTCGAGGTGCTCGATGGTGTAATTGGTGTAATTCCTCGAATGTAATTCCTCGAAGAAATAAAATTCTCTGCAGCTCTGTGGACTTAGGCAAATTTGTCGAACCACGTAAATCTGTGTGCCACTCTGGTGTTTTTCTGTGTGTAATTTTTCTCGTTCCGCTTTTCGTTTTATTGTTGTCGTTTTTCACAACAAAGTTAGTTATAGATCATCCTTAGTTTGGCGGTATGAAACTATCTAAATCATTTATTTGGGTTCTTGATACTTTAGATGTCATGATTCGGCCCGAAGCTTGAAATTTTTCAAGACGACAACAGACGGTCGAACGGTGAAAGATTATATTTTTTCTATTTACATTTTATATAACTACCATTTAATCTTCCCAAAATAAATGAAAGAACAATTACTGAAAAGAAATAGTTAATACAATTAAATTTACCTTATTTGTGGTTGGTGGCGTCTTATGTAGATATTCCCTTCTCTATTGATCCTCTTTACATAAAATTTTATATTTTAAAAGTTTATGTTAAATATACTGAACCAACCAAAGACAATGAATATTCATATTCCTATACTACAATAACACAATTAAAAAGAAAATAATATGCATGTCAGTTAAACTTTAAATAAATTAGTATAAGAGCAGTTGATAATTTATATTTATGAATATGATTGATAAGGATATTTCAAAATTTTTATTATGTCATATGATATCGTTTTCATATCTATATTATTTTATATACAATCGTCATAGGAGCAGCATCTAAAACCTTACCAATTAAGATACTTCAATATCAATATCATTTTTCAATTACGTGCTCATGTACCTTAATTTTCTCTTTCTAGTATCATAAATGGGTGAACTTCATTACGGTCAATCATTCACATACAATCACATTGCGTTAATTAATATCTAATAATGATTATTTCATTTTCATTTGTATGATAGTCAATATATTTGTATAATATTCAATATAAATGATTATTTAAATAATGTTAAGTACGTGTCATTCCTACAATATGAAAAAAAAATCAATAGAATCATAAATCATAAGTATATAGCAATATAAGTATAACTATTAACAATAATAGTAAATGCATTTAATCTAGAAGTAAAAATATTATTATAGCATAAAAACACGAGCACTCACATTGATGTTAATTGATTTATTCTTTGATTTTTCTTTAACCTCAACACTTCTAAATTGATGCCTATAATAAACATACAGATTCATATTACTATGATTTAGTTATATTTTGTAATTATGGTGAATTATTTTTTACTTACTTATGTAAATTTTAATTAACTTTATTCTGTTATAAATGTGTATAAGCTAACATTAGTAGTTATAAAATTAATTTAAATTAAATAAATTAAAAAATAAAATTCAACTTATTGCCCTTGAGCTTCGGCTTGACTTCTTCTGCATTCAAAGCTACTCCTTCCTCATGCTGTCTTCCTTCTTGCTTTCTTAAAGCTCGGCTTAGTACTCCTGCTCCCACACTCTTCTCTTCTAGCCGAACCTTGCTCGACGAGAGAACTAATCAAGCACAAGCTTGTCACATGAACTTGCCTCTTCCTTCTTTCGTTCGGTTAGGATACGACTCCTATTTCACACAAGTCTACTCCCGCACGTTGTTGGGATTAATTATTATCATTATTATTATTATTATTTTCAGTTATTACATTGGATCTTTTTGATATTGCTTAATCATGAATTTATTTGCATGCTTAATTCAATCCCTGATAAACTAGGAGAGTCTCTTGGATCAATAAGCAATAATTGATTATTCTTGACTTTAAAACTCTCTAATATATACAATTGAAGCGCCGCAAGAATTCTCAAATAATCATTCAAAATTGACAATTCAAGTAGGGATAAATTGTTTAAGTCCTTCCATAGTATCTTTAAAACCATTACATAGATTTCACCAAATGAAAATTTTCTCTATCCCAAAAATTGAGTGTTTCAATAATTTTTTTTTTTAAATGCCTAATTCCATAACAATTAATTAGTGTTGTTTAGTCATTAATGTCGTTTGTCTTTTGCAAGATGTTTCTTATACAATATTACTGAATTCTTATTTACTGAATAGACATGTTGTGTACCATAGGCTGGAATATAAGTTTTTTTCAAAATTTTTAATAAGGAAGAATATTTAGTGTACATTTCAATTCTACGTGGAGCATGGTTGGCACTAGCGAAGGTGACCTTTTGACTATGCTATAAATTTCAGCATTTCATTTTCTTCATCTACGTTTTTTTAACGTTTTAGGAGTTTTAGAGTAGACATGGAAAAGGAAGAGATCTAAGAGAAGTCATTCGAGGCAGAATATGAAGAACAAGTATATCTCCTGCTAACCCAAACTGGAGCAGAATAGACCAATATCTTGGCAACTTAGATGATGTTAGGATACGAAGGACCTCCATAAAAAAATCTACCACATGTGACATTGGAGGTATACTCATAGCTTTAACCATTTCTTGGCGCAATTCATTCAAAAGATAGGGAGCCGTAATCTTGGTGGCTCTAACATCACGGCTAAGTCAAATAGCATGCTTAAACTCAGGACCATGGCCAATATCATGGTTCAAATGGGTGCATGGAACACATAATGCTAAATGCACCACATGTGACATTGGAGGTATACTCATAACTTTAACCATTTCTGGGTGCAATTCATTTAAAAGATAGGGAGCCGTAATCTTGGTGGCTCTAACATCAATCGGTTAAGTCAAATAGCGTGCTTAAACTCAGGACCATGGTCAATATCATAGTTCAAATGGGTGCCTGGAACACATAATGCTAAATGAATTCTATTTGGAGGTATATTTATAACCTAGGTTACGAATCACCACTATAGAGCATAGCCAACATAGGTGGCCTTGAAGTTATACTCATATCTTTTAACCATTTGTAGATGCAGCTAAAAAATAGGGTGCTGTAATTCAGGA